TTTATTAAAAAAAGTTAAAGTTTGATTTAATTATATGTATAATTAAGTACAGCAAAAGCCTACAAGGCTTATTTCCTGAGATTGCTTGTTTTATAAGTGTTAGAACATTTATTTTCAACTCTTTTTGTACAATTTCCTAAGATAGTGAAATTCAATTTCTTATAACGAACACTGGTTATTCTTCACTAAAAGAAAAGTTCATGTTATTAAATAACTTGTCTGTCCTACATCAACTGTCTAATGGTACCACATACATTTAATAAATGCTTTCTCCACTCCTAGATTTTCTGAATACATATCTTTCATATGATTCTGCTGTTTTATATTCTCCCCCAACAGTTTTGTTGCGAATTAATTCTCTAAGAAGAAGGTGGCAACCTCATAGTCCCATGACTTAAATCCTATTTAACACCGGTGCTCCCAAACACACACTTCCCGCTCGGTGGTTGCCCCTGAATTCTGGTTGTTCCTCTCGGGAGTCTGAGGCATTTCAAATGTAACAAAACCATAATTTCTAATCAACCCCAACAACTGAACCCGACTTGCTCCATTTCCAGAATTTCTTGTTTCATTTAATGACACTATCACCCCACCAAAGGTAGTTCTCATGCTTGCTCTCCCCTCTCCATCCCATTTCCAATCCATCAACAAATCTTGACTAACTCTCCTTTCTGTATTTATCTAAATCTCCCTGCTTCGCATGTTGGTCACTCTTCTTATTCTAGTCCATGATCTTCTGCCTTTAATACTTACTTCCTCTATTTTTGTTCTTCTTCTACTTTGGTCCATTTTCCAAAGTGAAGACTAAATTATCTTTATAAAACATTGATTAAATTATATCAATCTCTGCCTACAGTCTTTGGTTTCCCATCCCACTTAGGATAAAATTTAAACTCCCTGCTGGAGTCTACCAAAATCCTGTTAATTCAGAGTATCTCTCTCTTTCTCTACCCTTTACTCACTCTGTTCTGGCCACATGGCCTTCTGTTTGTTCTTCGAATACAATAAACCTATTTCTGCCACAGGTCCTTTGAATGTAGTATTCCTTTTGCCCCACACACAGTTCTCCCAGATTTTTCTGATTCCCTTCTTCTCCTTCTTCAGTATCAACCCAAATATCCGCCCGCCCCCCTTTTGGTGGCCTCCACAAGCACACTCTTCTTAAGTAACTTTTCCTACTTCATCCCATTTTGTCTGTTATAACATTTGTCAGCGACAGTTATTGTACTTACATATTTTTTCTTAGAATGTAAATCTCATGTGAACAGAGTTGTGTCTGCTTTGTTCACACCTTTAACTTTGTGTAGAACCAGGCCCATGGTGGGAACTCAGTAAGTACTGTTTGGATATTTTGAATAAATTATTAAGACATTCAAAAAGTACCATTATTCAAAGTAAAATTCCTACCCACTTGTTTAGTGACTGTAACTGCAGAAGTTACAGGGTAGAAAATGAGGTGCAGCTCAATGACAGGCCAAAAAGACAGGTTTTTGGAGGCTAATGTATGGAGCCAATTTTCGCCAATAAATATGGCTGGTTTATTTTCATATATTTACATAGGGCAAAAAGATCAAGAGGAACATTAGCTTATCCCTATGATGAGAGATGTCATTTTCATTGTTAAATGCACTTAGTATCTTCACAATAAGAAATAGATTGAATTCTGTGGAAACACAAATAAGTGATCATCTAAATCTACAGATTATATTCTGAACCTACTTCTACTTCCTCCCTTTGTCTCACACTACTCCCAAATAAAGAAGCTATCATTTATAGAAGACAATTTTTTGAAACTTTTCAGACCTGACACTGTGCTAGGTCTTTAAAACTGCCCCCCTCATAGTGGCAGTATAATAGCCATCCCTGCCAGGGCACACATATATGATTAGCAGTCAGAAGTCTAGCAAAATCAAAAATGTTTCTTCATCTTTGGGACAACTGGCTTAGGAGAGAACATGTTCTAAGACATTAAAGGTGAATATTTTCATGACACCTGTACAAATGATTTTCTGCTATCTTCTCTAAAAACCTAAGTTTCAATCTTTTTCCTATAGACTTTAAAAGATAGACCTCAAAGGTAACATTTTATATCATAGTCTCTTATAGTCCTAGAACAAAACTTAAGCATGAATAATTGGAGATCTGCACACTAATATAAAGATGAAAGAATGGGACTCAATTTAACACAAGAGCTAAAAAAAAAAAATGGGATTATTTCCCTCTGCCATCTTGAAAAGGATATGGCTTTAAAACCTATGAAACAAGAAGACGGTGATGTTATGCTGGATGGGCAACATATCAGTGAACCCTCTTCCTAAGATTTTTTATAAACCTTTATATTTTGACTATCTACTTATTCCTTTGTGAATATAGTTTTCTTATATCTGTAGCCTCTTTCCTATATAGCAGCTCCATCCTCATTATCTATAACAAGGTTTCCATCAACTTTCATCATGTATATATTCCATAAAGTCTGAACACACACCTACTTGATATGTGAATTTATGTATTTCTACCCTATACACACGTGCCATTGTGCTGTTACATATTTTATACACTTTCCTACAACCAAATACATTAACATAACAAGATAGAATAAATAGACACTGAGGTTCTATTTTTCCTTCCTGACGATTGGTTTGTGCCCTCTCCGGGGGAATGTTTAGCCCCCTCTGGAGACCACTAAGATTTTATCTCAAGGAAACGGATTCATATTAAAGCTCTTTTGATTTTATGATCAATGTGCACTAGAGTTCCTGAATAATCTAGATCTGCATACCTTATTATACCATGTTACAGTGCATGAAGCTATGAGGTGCCAGCTAGGACAAGATATTTGTTCCTCCAGCTGCAGGTAATATTGTTGGCTGCTGGTAACTCAGAGCTGAGTTATACTCCCCTGCCTCCACCCTAGTAGCCCTCATCCAATTACTGGTCCAATAACCCACACCTCCTTGTTTCAGTTCAGGCCAACTGGAAAGGGCCATCCTAGCTCCAGAGTTCCTACTGGATTCAGAAGAAGCTTCTTATTACTACAATTGCACGCTCTTGCTCTCTCTCTCTCTACAGTGCTACTTCCTCCAGTCCCTTAGGGATTGCAAAGGTACCCTGCCAGAAATCTCCTGCACACAAATCTCTGTTGCAGAGTCTCTTGTGTGTTGAGTTCCTAATAGACTGTTTATTGAGCCACTGGAAATTCAAGGATTAAAGTCATATCCTAAGTCTTCCTGAATCCCCATTAGTTTCTCACTGAGTCAAGATTAATTTCACCTGGAGGTCTTCTTTGTTTTTATTATGGAAAATCAAGGTTCCAAAAATTGGACAGGAAGAGGGACTTCCTTCTTCTAAATGCCTGAGTGACATTTACTGATGGGCTCAATATCACTGCTTCTGAGGACAACAGATCTCCATCCAGATTTCAGCCATTCTGCCCCAGACTGTGGTCTAATTCATACTGCTCACTCTGATGCCTCCTTCAGGGTCACTTCAGCTCCTGACACAATCTCAGTTCCACTCAGGTTCAAGAAATGTTAGAGCGCTTGACCCTACTAGCAGCATAAGGCACCTACTTACTTTACCTAGGATATATCTCTCTGAGAGAATTGGTTTAACTCAGTAGAGGCTCTGGGATTTAACGCACTAGTAGTCATGACACCATTTTTCTCTTACACTTTTCTCAATGGAACTTGCTTGGTTCTGCCGTCCAGGGTGAGAGCTCTGTTTTCCCAAAGCACCAGTCATAGAATAAGCAAAGTAACCATTATTGCTTCCTGGAAGGGAGAGATCTATGGTATTGGACATAGTGGCCCCTGTTTACATTTTCTTTGATCAAGATGCAGACTTTCATAAAAATGGAATCCTAAGAACTGGCCCTACATAAACTTAAGTTTTGCAAAACAACTATGAAAAGCCTACCAATGACTCTAGATTTTTTTTTTTTTTTTTTTAGAGAGAGAGAGAATGCGTGTGAGCAAGCGGGAGGGGTGAGAAGAGGGAGAGGGAGAGAGAGAATCCCAAGCAGGCTCCATGCTCAGTGAAGAGACCCACATGGGGCTCAGTCTCATGACCCTGAGATCATGTCCTGAGCCAAAATCGATTTGGATGCTTAACCTACTACTGAGCCACCCCTACAATATTTTAATATTCATAAAACTCAGTACAATGTTTAGGTATGCTTTCTGACATAGAATATCAGAAATAAGAATCAACTATCCATCCAAGGTTTTACTTAGAAAAAATGAGAATATATGCATAGATAAATTGTTATAAAAAAACGAATACCTAAAATATAGTCCTTCTCACCCCAACCTCCAATAGATGAAGAATGGAGGGTGGCCATTACAGCATGTAATATAATATTTGACTCTAATTAAAAGACAGTTCAGTGAAATGCTCTTTTGATAGAAATTTACATGCTTCATATGCTATATATTAAAAACAGTAGTACATACTTGATTACAAGTTATCAAACATATAACAGAAGTATTTCATAAATAGTCATTAGGTAGATTATAAGATAACATGTAAAAGGTGATACAGGAAATAAATACAAAAATGCATAGTATTCATTTATGACTTAACTTTTATTGAAAGTGGGGCAAAACCCTTCACAGCAAGGCTCAGAGAGTTGCCTGCAAAGTGACTCCAGGGCCTGCTATGGCTGTTTTGTTTTTTCTAATTGTCACGGCAGTCCCCATGTCTAAAACTCATTCATTGGGGATGAAGCTTATGCTAAGATTTTCACTATACCTTGAAATGCTGAGGCTATGGCTACTTTTCACAGATACGGAGCGCCCTCCATTAAAATATTACTGTACATTGACTCTGTATGAAAATACTCAACAAAATATTTCTAAAACTCTCAGTACAAATAATTTATTCCAATACTCACGTTTAGGTAGGACCATCGGATAGGATTAATGGATTTATCACATGTAATGGAAAGTGAATACTTATTATTTACCATTGATTATACCAATAAATAGAGTATCAGCACTTACCTGAATAACGTGCTTCAGTTTATCAATAATTTGATTTATCACAGGATCAGTTCCTCTGACTTTGACTTCGGGATTTCCAGATTGGGCTTTGATTCCATTTCCAACCACACGCTGAGCATAGCTAACAAAGTGAAAAGTGGAAGATATAGAATTTAGTAATCTGGTCAGAATATTATCTGCCATAACCATTTGAATACACCTGAGCTCAGAATCTTACTCTTTTAAGAGTGTATAACAATGCTTTTTTTTCTTGGAACAGGCCCTGGCCCAGCTGCGACATTATTTTAGTAAGATGCTTACCATGGAAATATAAACTATTCTAATGTTTTTCTCTCAAAAGACCCAACCAAAAATTAACTATGTTTTAATACTACTTATCAATATACTAAAGCAAGCTAATATACATCCCACTTTGTTACCAGGCCTTGCTGAATTACACATATGTCTGAATCCATATTACCTGGGTCAATTTAATTCATTATATACGGTATATAAATGAGTCCCAATACTATTTTTTTTACATATTGGACTACAAAAGTCAAAATTATAAACATTATAAATAAACAACTAAAACTGGCAAAATATTTTGCAAGCAGATAAAAACATAATCTTTCACCAACATTTATCTAAACAAGGGTCTAGTAAATCATGTTGTATGTAACAGGGTGACTTCATAGGTGGTTAAAGTCATTGCAAATTACTATCTTCCCAAAATGACAATTTAGATTCATCAGTCACAATCCTAGGAATGAAGGAGAGGTTCAGTATGCTATGGGAATAGCTAGAAGGAACGGTATATGCCATGTGAGAGGTTAGGGATAACATGGGTAGTAAACACTGAACATATGGAGAAGTCCATCTGGACTAAGACACTTGGGGAAAAATTAAAGAAGTTATTGCTTGTGTTAGCCCTTGAAGTATTACGGGAAGAACAGGTCTTAGATGGTATAGTTAATGTAAACTCCAGAGCAAAGGATGACATCCCAACCAGAGAAATGGCGAAGGCATATGAATAACACACACAGGGAAGAATAGCTAGGTTTCTATTTACAAAGAGTACAAATAGGGAAAAGTAAGAGTTAGGAGGCCATGCCCTGATCATTCCATACTCTCTCCATTTAAGACTCTCCTCTGAGTAATCTGTTTGTTCAAACAGAAGTCATAATAAAGTGGCCTCAGAGAATTTCCAGAAAGCATTTTCATATTATGTTTCTTCCCTCTATTTGAGCAGAGTATCACAGCTATTCACATGAACCCTCTGGATTTTCTACAGCAATGGAAGCTCTTTGAAAAGATGAAAGGAGGTTCCACTGTTGAGAATATGGCCATATACAAAAAGTTTTAATGAATATCCAATTCCTCCCCAAATTTTGCACCCCCAGTGACTAATTTATACAAGTGGATCAAACAATTACTGGCTAGATCCTTCTCATTAAATGATGCAACTTTTTTATATTGATAATATCAATTGCATGTGACAAAAATAATGATATTAATTAATAATGATATTAATAAATCTTTTTTTTAATTTTTAGAACAACCTTGAACCCGCTTCTTAAGGCAGAAATAAAGGGGTATAGAGTTAGGTATTCCAGTATACATTAGGGATTTGGCAATATATACCAATAACTATTAGTAGAAGGAAATCAATTACACAATTACACAAATCTATTGATATGTAATAATATCTTTTACTTAAGAGGAATTAAGTAAACTATAAATATTAAGCTTCTCTTAACTCCTCTGTAGCACTATTGTATTTTTCTTCCAAATATTTCAAGCACATGTGGCTCCTTTATTAATGTGTTTATTATTAATAATGATGAATAATATGAATACATAAATGGACAAATCCATGTTTATGATTCAGGCATTGTTTTAGATACTTTCATTGGAGTTTGTCAATTTATCTACATGATAATCATTTGTTGTGATGTTGCCGTGAGAATGTGCCTATAGACCTCAAAGTACAAGTTTAATTGACTAAGAGCACCTGTGTTTTGCTCTGAAATCTATTTCTGCACCTGTCCCCAACCAATGACTGTGTTCAGCAGGGATATTAATGCAGAGCCATCACAGGAAGACAGAGGGTTCCTCTGATAGCTAAGTTCGTCTCAGGAATCCCTGAAACCCTTCCTAACCTTTCCTTGGGTTGCACATCATGCTTGATACTTCCACTCAAAACTTCTTACCCCTTCCCTGCACTCTGGGTCATGCGTGCTTCATGACTAACAGCTTTTCCAGCCTTACTCAGTTTCCACCCCATTTGCTTGGATAGGCATTTCCCTTAATAAAACCCTCTTGTGTTTAATCCCTTTTTCGCATCTGCTTCTTGGAAAATCCAGATTAATACATCATATAATATTTATATTATAAGGATTCCCACTCTACAGATTGGGGATCTAGGATCTGAATATGTTCAATAACTTTCCTAATGCAACATTTTGTTAAGTGTGCAGCAAGGGTATGAATCCAGGGAACATGAGTTCCAAAATATAATCACTCAATAATTATTAATGAAAACTCCTGAAACCAACTAATATAAACTAGAGATACAATTAGTTTTGTGCAGTGTTTTTCTTCTTTTTGTAATCCTTTCTTTTTTTGTGTAACTACAGCATTTTCAAATGTTTTACTACTCATAATTAGAAAAGGATGTACTATCTTCTTCAAAAATCGCAATGAACAGTTGTGTATTTCCAGCTAAAGAGGGAAGTTATGCTTGCTGGAGGGGTGAAAAGAAATTAATAGAGTGCAAGCTTGCTATAAGATTTTCCTATTTATCTAGAAACACAGACAATGTGAGCAACGGAAATTAGTCTCATCACTTAAGTTTAAATACAGTAAAACCTTACACAATACAGGTTTGAACTCTCCGGGTCTACTTATACGTGGATTTTTTTTTCAATAAATACAGTACTATAAATGTATTTTCTCTTTCTAGTTATTTTCTTGATAACATTTTATTTATTTTCTCTAGCTTACTTTATTCTAAGCATATAGTATGTAATACACATAACATACAAAATATGTGCTAATTGACTGTTACCGGTAAGGCTTCTGGTCAGCAGTAGGTTATTTGTAGTTTCAGGAGAGTAAAAAGTCATACACTGATTTTTTGACTATGCCCCTAACCCCCACATCCTTCAAGGGTCAGTTGTAAACTACTGCTTTGGTTGCATTTTGGTTTATGTACAGACCATGAACTTACTTCCAAGATGCGGGAATGTCATGTCATATTAATCTGAAGAATTTCACATTTTTATTCTTAACTATCACAGTTGATAACACAGATAAATTTTATCACAATTACAACTGATCAAGAATCTCATTCCAAACTAGTGTATTATTCAGGAGTTCAGTATCACTATTCTTACATATTATTTAAATAAGGAAAAACACTGCAGTAGGGCATTTAAAATACTTCAAGTGAAATATAATTTTTAAAAATAAGTTTTTCTTTTCTGTTTTCATAAAGTTAAGAAGAACTACAATGCAACAGTGGTACATACACACCAGAAGAGTTTAAATGTGAAAGACAGATGATACCAAGTGTTGGCATGGACATGGACCTGTTGGAGCCCTCTCTCTTTGTGGATGGGTGTGTAAACTGATATAAACCACTATTTGACATGTATACTAAAGCTAACAATCCCATGGTCCTGGGGATATACTCAACAATGTCTACCAAAAGACAGGTATAAGAATGCTCAGGGAAGTATTACTCAAAATAGCCCCAAATTGGACATAACCCCAATGTCCATAAGCATTAAGATGGGAAAATAAATGGGAGTATATTTATATAATAATATACTATACAGCAATGAGAATGAATGAATCATAACTATACATAATATCTTATAAACTAAATGCTGAATGAAAGAAGCAAGGTATAGAACATGCACTATGACCCCATCTATAAAAGTTTAACAATAAATCAATGTTCTAAATCACCATAAGTACTACTCTAGGAGATACTGTCTAGAAGGCTGAAGTGGATTTCTGGGGTTCTAGTAGTATGTTCCTTGATTTGGGTGCTGGTTACACAAGAATTCTCATTTTGTGTAAAAAAAAAAAAAAGATTGAATTGTACAGTTAAGATTTGAATATTTCATTGTATGCATGTATTTTCAACCCAAATAAAACACTTACATTACTAAACTCCTTCTGCTCTTTTTCTTAATATGTATATAACAGACAAATTTTCATTGAACCAAGTATAAATAAAAGATCCACACTGGTATTTTTAACATGGGCTAAATGGTTTTGTCATCACTAAATGAGTAATTTAGGATCCTGGTTTGATATAAAAACTTACTCCCTGCAGCCTTTACTTTGTATGCAAAATATATGGTTTCTTAATGAAATAAGAATTTTTCTAACAAAGACATTTTGAGTTTCTTATTATGAAATTTTAATAAATCACTAATCACATTTTCCTTCTAAATGTACAAGTAATGGATAAAACATTTCAAGGATCCCTACAGAGCTTTCTTGACTTGAAAAATTGCTTGCATTTCAACTAGAAGAAAGGAATAAAACACACACCAAAAAAAGAGGCACATTTTTTGTTAGAGAAGTAATAGACCCACCATCTGTGCTTATTTCTTCTAAGCAGGTCTGGTAATAGATGACAGTGCTTTAATAGGAATACTCACTCCCCAGTTACAACTTGCTTTTCATTAGTATGGAAAAAAGGCAAGCACTGATATATTTACATTCTACAAAGATGTTTTAAAATGATGATTAACAAGATTCCAATTCTCTTTGTGTTCAACATATGAAATATTACAAAGAAATGCTAATAAATCTATACACAGTATGTCATTAGGAAGTCATTTCTCCTGACTTTACCAACATTTCTTATTGGAAACTCATGTCATGCCCTACTAGTTGATATTAATTTCACTTTATTTAGAATGCAGAATTTGTTTCAGATTCACATCAAAAGTATGGTATTTTGATGCACACTTAGACAATTTCAGATGGAAAAAAATATCTGGAATCTGACCCTGGAATTCATTACAAAACCCTTAGAGTGGTCGATCTTAGAAGGCTTTGGTAACTTCACTGGGACAGGATATCAGAACTTCAAAATTAATACGAAATGAGGAAAACATC